ACTTTCATAGCTTATTTAAATCTGTGGTATCACTCCCGAGACACCTTTGGCTGGTTCTGGAAGGATTTCTAACTGATGCGGTGTAAGCAACAAACTAGAGAGAGTGACATAAATTCAATGCTGAATTTTTGAGTAAGTTCTGAAAAAGCCTCCAAAATTTCAACCAGATTTACCACATTACTCATTTCTAGCTCTGGCATTAACTCTGGTTTATTAATTTCACACATATGGGTTGTTGTTGCTCTTCAACATGATATAAATGCTGTTCCACCTAGTCTCACAATGGAGAATCAGCTTGTGTTCTGGCAAACCAAGTTGTTTTTACTTGTTTATCAGATAATATTTGGTAATAGTACTTTGATGGAAATGCTCAGCCAACTTATAATAGTATGTGATCACTCAGTTTATTCCTGTTTAATCCTTTTTGGATACCTAAGTTCAAGATATGACCAAAGCATGGTAATAACTTTCAACCCATGTCACTAACAACTTTCACACAGTCATTTACTAATACCTCTGTTACCATTTTCTGCTTCATATTCTCCTTAGAATACTTAGCTTTAGCTACTATAAACTTGTATAGCTGACTGACTTTTCAGCAACTGTTGTACAAATGTTGAACTTGCAATACTATAACTAATGATGCTGTTACTTGATGCTTATGATGAAGATGTTAATTCAGTTAAAGCCATTGTTGCTGGAAGTTTAACTGTAATGCTTTGATGCATTGCAAAGAAGTTGTAAATGGTTTCATACGTTTGTAGTATTGCTACTAAATTTAAGCACTGCTTCATAATGCCACATATTCAATATGACTGTCTCCCTGATAGCCAAAATGTTCTCACACAGCTAATTTATTTTCATTTTGTAAAACTTCCAATTTAATAAAACAATCAACATCTTTTTCACTTTATTGCTAATGATTGTTTTCTGTCCACACTATCACTTTACGATTGTGAGGATAAAACATGTGACATGCGATTTCACTTTTATGAACAAATAATCTATAGATTGAATATAGGTTTGAGAATGTATTTTCACTTCTAACTTTAAACCAATTTTTGCTAGTATAGTAAGAGGTACTGCATGACCAATCAGAGTTCAGAAAGGAGTATAAGATCATCATGGAAAACTGGGATATTTATTACTCAGTAAACTAATTCTTTATTTAAATATCATTTTTGTTACAGAAAAGCATATAGCATTGTTACAAAGAACTGGGATATCTGAACTTAGTATGCTATTTATTAGATAAACTAATTCTTCGTTAAAACAATTGTACTTAGTTTTCATGCAATAAAACTAAAAGATTCTTCTCTGTGTTGTTACAGCATGATAGATGCAAGGAATACATCAGCTAACAATGATTTTCAGGAAATTAGAGTATTATTAGGGCTAAAAGTAGTGGATGTAATTGTAATGAGCCTATTCTATTTAGCAACATTTTCAGCCCTTGGCTTGTGCAGATGAGGAGCTTTTGGAAGGAAGGAAAACAAAAAAGATAGAGAAGGATATGGATGATAAATTTTTAAGGGAGTTATAGTTACAAGTGATTCCTTGACAAAGCATGTAGATAGAATAGTCCATGGGGTAAATAGGGAAAAAAGGAATTATACTATGCTCCCCAGGGGAACAGATGGAGGATATAACTTAAAAAGAAGGAGATATAATAAAGGGTGCAAGCATAGATGTAGTGTTAATTGTGCACATACGAGCTAATGATATAGGAAAAGGTAAGTCAGAGGAGCCAATTAATAAGTACAAGGAGTTGATAAAGGCATTTAAAGAAAAAGGCCATAACTTAATTTTGTCAGGAATACTGCCTAGAATTAATTCTGGGGATGAAGTTAAGAGTAGATCACTAGGGCTAAATGCTAGGCTTAGATTAACAAGTAAGGATGAGCAGATTGTCTATTTGGATTTGTGGGATCAGTTCAATGGAAGAAGGGAGTTGTTTGGAGTGGATAGAAACAGCATAGGGGCTGGCTTGTTTGCAAGGGCAATTAACTCAGCTATAAGGGAAATTTTAAACCAAGACTAGACAGTGGTGAGGGCCAGGATAAACTCAATGCAAAAAGAATAAGAGGAAGAGAAATGTTTTGCATAGGAAACGAGTATAGAAGTAGTTATAAGGATAAGCTTAATTGCTACTATTGTAATGCTAGAAGTATAAGAAATAAAATCAGTGACTTTTGAGCACTGGAACAATTGAAGGATTTTGATATAATGGGAATAACTGAAACATGGTAGATGATTTTGATGACAGAAATCTCTTTGAAATATAGGGTTACAGGTTACTTAACAGAGATAGAGTACTAATGAGAGGGGGAGGAGTGGCTTTATATATAAAATGTGAGTTACATCTTGAGATTGAGGATATCAAAGATAATAGCAAGTGTTTTTATAAGCAGATATAAAGGGAAAAGGCTTTTAGTGGGAATTTGTTACAGACCGTCAGATGATACTGATGAAATTAGTAAGAAACTTTACAATGAGATTAAGGTTTCAACTGCAATGAAGTCATAATTATGGATGATTTTAATTTCATGCATATAGACTGGGAAATGCTAGAGTTAAACCATATGAGAGAAAGGTTTTTAGAAACTGTTCAAGATGTTTTTCTTCACCAACTAGTCAAGGAACCTATAAGAAACAATGCTATTTTAGATTTATTGTTAACTTCAAACACAGAAATGATTGAGAGGGTGGAAATTGGGGAACATCTGGGTGTAAGTGATCATTGCTCTATTATGTTTGATGTTTTGCTATATATGGAGATAAGAAATAATGGTATTTTGGTTACAAATTTCAAAAAAGCCAATTTTGAAGGAGTGTGACAAGAATTATCTGTTGTGAATTGGGCAGCTGACTTACTTGGAGACAATGATCAAATGTGGAAAATTCAAGAAAGAAAAAGGTGGCTGCAAGTTAAAACCCAGGTTGGCTCACAAAGTGTATAACAGATAAAATTGAAGAAAATCGTTATAAGTTTAAGAAATTTAAATTGCCTGGTATGACAGGAGATTTAAAAGATTATATATCAAAAAAGTTGATCAAATAGGAAATTAGAACATCAAAAAGGATGTATGAGAAAAGGTAGGCTGAAAATGTAGAAGTTAACAGTAAGGATTTTTTTAAAATACATTAAGGGTAAACAAAATGTTAGGATGGGGGTAGGACCCTTGAAGGATGACAAAGGAAGGTTCATATCTGATGATTATGAGATGCCTAGGTTAATAAATTCTGCTTTTTCTTCAGTTTTTACTGATGAAAATTTAAGCAATACTCCACATCTTGAACAGCTGATAGATGGAAACAAGATCGAACAAGATGACTGCACTAATTCTGAGTTTCTTAAGAAAAAATTGAGAAGTTTAAAGAACAATAAGGCTCCTTGGTCAGATAATATTTCCCAAAGGGTTTTGAAGGAGGTTAAATATTAGATATGTGAGCCACTTACTACTATTTATATATATATATAAGTCCTTGAATATTGGGCAAGTACCAGAGATTGGAAGTTAGCTTATGTCAATGCTGTTTTCAAAGGAGGTGATAAAAATTGTCCCAGTAATTATAGGCCCATTAGTCTTAAATCAGTTGTGGGAAAGTCTGATAAAAGATGCTTTGCAAAGCCATTTAACATAGTTAAGAATTTTATTGGATAGTCTTGCCTTAAAAATGTTTGACATTCTTTGAAGAGGTTACTTATTATGTAGATGAGGGCAAGGGTGTAGATTTGGTATATCTGGATTTTCAGAAAGCATTTGACAAAATGCCACATAAAAGGCTTGTAAAAAACATTATCTCTATAGGTGTGGAGGATAAGTTTGCAAATTGGATAGAAGAGTGGTTGTATGGAAGAAAGCAGAGGGTTGTCATAAATGGAGTTCAGTCAAACTGGATTAATGTTACAAGTGGGGTAATTCAGGGCTCATTCTTAGGACCTTTGCTCTTTTTTATTTACATCAGTGAAACAGATGAAGAAATGGTCAGTAAATTACTTAAATTTGCAGATGATATTAAAGTATTGAGTATTGCTAGCTATGAAGAGAATGCTGTTGATTTACAAAAAGGATTTAGATCATTTAGTGAATTGGGCAAATAAATTTCAAATGAGTTTCAATTATAATAATTGCAAGATAATGCATATGGGTTATCATAATTTGAAATATAAGTATAATTTAGATGGGAATAACCTTAACAGGGTCATGAAAGAAAGGGACCTTGGTGTAATGGTTGATCAGTCTCTTAAACCATCCAAGCAGTGCACTGTTGCTAGTGGTAGGGAAATAGAATTTTAGGTTGTATCTACAGAAATATTGAATACAAGTCTAAAGAGGTTATAATTTCATTGCATAGGTCACTGGTAAGGTCATATTTAAAGTACTGTGTTCAGTCTTGGCCTCGTTACCTAAGGAATGGCATTGAATTGTTGGAAAGGGTTCAAAGGAGGGTTACTGGGATGTAGAGGTTGGCATACGAGGATTGTAAAGGGAATTAACAGTGTTGATGCATCATCTTTTTTCATACTTAGAATAGTAGGACTAGGGAACACAAATATAAATTTTGGTATGGTAGGAGTCATCTTCAGCTAAGACATTTTTATTTTTCTAACAGGGTCTTTAGCCTTTAAAATGGGTTGCATTCGGATGTTATGGAGGCAGTAAATTTAAATGAGCTAAGAAAAACTTCATAATTAAATGAATGATAAGGGTTGGCTTTAAGATTTTTTACAAATTTATTTAATAGTTTTAGTTTAGTTTACAGCATGAGACAGCTGAGATAGATCAATAGGTCCCTTGTTGTCCCAAAACATTATAATATATAAACCAGTAAAATAAATTCACTCCAATCATAGAAAAACAGACAGTACAAGATTTACTATTTGCCAAAAATGTGAAGAAAACTTGTGATACTAGATGTCCTCTTTGCAGATATTAAAATGGTTCATGAGGTGTAAATCAAATTATTATAAGAAACATTTAAAGAAACAATAATACCAAAGAAATCTTGAATTACCGATGTTTTGGGATTTTGTTTTCTAAAACCATCACAAATAGCCTGAAAAACATCAAAAGAGTTAATGATGAACAACTTTATAAACATAAAAACACCATAAGCTTTTATGCAAGAAGTTGAAACATACAGAGTTTAGAAAAACATATTAAAATAATTAATACAGTGGTCACGCTAGCCTTTCAAAACTTGTTTTTTTAACACACGCTTTCTCAAAATATGCATTTTCAACCACCTACTTTTGTTTTACATTTTGTATTACAGTAGTTAATTTCTGATTAACATTATTCTATATTATGTTAAAATACACAGTAATGCGTCACCTGCAGGGCCTAATGCTGAACACCATGCACATATGCAGTGGTATATGGGATACTGGATACCTCTAAAGTCTACAGCTATCTAAATCTTGTGCATTCATTTAGAAACAATGAAATATTTATTCACTATCAATCACTTATTGCAACAATACTGTGGCAGTGTACACTTTTCCAGGCAATTTAGTATTATTTTACATGTTCATAAGTGTTGTACCTATAACTACATAGCTACTCAAATGGTTTGAATAATCATAAATAGTTTATATCATACAAATATGTACTTAGCCAAAGTAAAAACTTAGTATTTTGAAAGAAGACAACACAAAATTTAGAATAACATAAATTTATTTTGTGAAATAAGACTTTATCTTACAAAGTTTGTAAACAATCAGAAAATAAATAAGGATGCTTGGAATATTTTCCACATTGTATTACATAAACAAACAACAAAAAAACATGGTTATTTAAAAAAACAGGCATCTATGCTCTAGGAATACAGTGCTTATATATTTTTTTTTCATTAAAATTTGCTGTATATATATATATATATATAACAAGGAATTATGTAAAAATGCAACATGTGAATTTAATACGCATACATTTTACAATACTGACCAGAATAAACTGTCAAACATGCATGCTGAGAAATCAATAAGAGAAACAACTTGTATATAGTAGCATTACTACTTACTAGGACTTGTCCAAGTTCCAAGTGACTACAATTGGACTTTTCACTTTCCAGTGCTTCTCACAATGTACAAGTAATAGAGCTAGTCTTAGTTAAACTGGAGTTATGTTTGTATGAATAGTCTAACAACTTAATGCAAGTTAACGGTGTTACACATCATCAATTTGTTAAACTATTATAAAATATAAATTAGACAATGTTTAGTGATGAAACCGATTTGTGAATTTATCACATTGGCCCAATTATAGGGCAATCTCGAATATAAGGGTACACCCATTTTCAGAAACTATGGGAAAAAAAAATTTGAGTGACATATCATCGTTTTTTAGGTCTGCAAAATCAATACTATAACTGAACAGCCTGCAGGTGGATTAGTTATAAGTATTAGTGATGACCTTGAGCAAACATCTGGCTTGCATGCATAGATGGATGCTATCTGGACATTCAGGAATGTGACAGGCTAGAGTAGGGTTAAGGGGCATGTGGTTGACCATAATTGTGAGGCAACTATGAACTTCACAGCCTAATTATTAATAAAAATAAATAAAAAATTGCCCTATAATCAGACTAATATGGTACATTTCTAATTTATTACTTTGTTAAAAGATTGTCCTGAAAATGTGGATAAAGAATATTACTTCAGAATCAGGGAAGGGGTTGCATAATGACTATTGTTTGCTCAGCTATCAGAAATTTCTGTGTTACAGACGTACCAGTGCCTCTCACAATTTTCAGCAGAACACAAATTCAGAAAAGCAAAAGTTATGGTGTCACAGAAATAATACATAGACAGTTTTAAAAAAAAGAAACTTTATAGTTTGATATTAATGAATGAAGTTAAGTAAATTATAACACAATGTAGAAAACAAATTTTACAACTTACACCTTATCATAGATGGATCCAAGGCTTTGAGGGGGGGTTCAAATAGACATTTATTAGCAATACATTTACATTAATGACACTGTAGTAACATTAAATATGGAGGAGGGTCCAAACCCCCTGGACCCCACCCCTAGATTCATAATTGCTTATACAAAAAAAAGTGTCTTCAATTTACTTAAAATATTGAAGAGGTCCAGACCCCCTCCCCTAGATCCTCAGCTGCTAATATGACATTACAATAATTATTAATTTCTGGAGAAAATAAAATGGCCGGGGTTCAGACCCCCTGGACCCCATGCCTGCTTATACAACACTAAATAATACAATTACCAAATCAAAATAGAAACATAACACAAGGTAAAAAAAAATAATAATAATAATTTACACCTTATTTAAAACAATAGTAGCCAGAGAGTTGGTGGTGGGTGCTGCCAGGCAGTTGTCTTCCTTCTATTCGACATTTCAGAATGAATGACAGTGATTAGATAGCCTGTATTTATCACTTATGTAGCCAGATGGTTGGTGGTGAGTGCTACCAGCCAGTTGCCTTCCCTTTGATTAGTTGTGTTTTTATGACGTTAATTGATTAATTGTAATTTTGATTAGTTGTATTTTCATGACACTAATCTATTAATCATAACTTCAATCAATCAAATATTGCAATAATTAAAAACCGTACTAATTATAAAAAAAATTTTGATTAATCGATTGATTTGACCAGTTCTAGGTAACACCCCGGCCATACTTCCGATAGAGGGGTGCATATGGACATTCACAAGGAGGGAGAGGGCTCCATAATTATATTTTTATTCATTCAGCATACAAGTTTTTTATTCACTTCACAATTTCACACTATTTACTACACATAATTTTCAATTCAAATAAAAGTTACCCAGTTTGTCAGCAGCTTTATTTCATATCTTTAAATACCTACCCTGTAGCAGCTTTTTGGATATTGGACATGGCAATTCTCACCCAGGTCATCAAAGAGTCTTGCCAATGTCCCCCGAGCCCTGACAGAGTGTGATCAGGATAAATCTGTTGTTACCTGCTGGTAATATTGGCAGCAGGTTATCAAAGAAACTGACAGTCTTGCAGAGTATGTATGGATTATATATAGCTACAAGTCTGTAATATGGCTTAAACTAAACTTACAAATATTAAACCCATCAAATCTGACTGTGGGAGCTTGTCTATTCTCTTGACTGTAATGGCAAAACTTTTAAGGCAGGTTCATCATCCCTCGATTTTTACCCTCCATGAAAATATTTCTGCGGATGACCATGGAGGTGCATACACTTGGTATAATACCAGTGGGAGTACACAGTATGATAAAAAATCTCCTTATCAACAACCCCAGTGGCTTAGGAATGGAGAAGCAAGGGTTCTCAAATACTCCACTAAAAAGAAATGCATTGTGGGGGGGGGGAGAAATTTGCATGGATAGTCGTCACTAGGCACAATTATCTAAAATTAGGTACTATCCTGAGAGACAGTGCAATGGGATATCACAACTAATGACAGCAGGTGCACACCAGGTGTGAGGGTGGGCAAACACCTGGTGCTGCTGCTGTTTTTTGTCAAGTACAGAAAACCCTGGAAGAGAGTGAAGGAGGCATCCAATGCATACATTTGAATGATGTTTCCTCCAAGCCAGCATAAGGAGAAAATACATCTTCAGTAGATGAAGGATAAGTAAGAGACAAAGTAGGAGAAAGGGGCACTCCCAAGCAGGAGGGAGAGATTCCAGGGACTGATGTGAGGTTCAATACAAACAAAAGAATCATGACCATAGGCTATATACAAAAAGTCACAAAGGTGAGGAGGTCGAAGCTGATGTGGATCAGCTTATAGTTGAAACAGAAAAGCATCAGCTTGAACATGAATATCTGGAGGAGATGAAAAAAGTCTGATGATGGAGGCTCATGAAGCAAAGCAGCTTGAAACTCATCAAAAACTACTGGAAAAAGAGAAAGAATGTTACATACCTAAGTAATCGAAGTTGAAAATGATGAAGGTGGAGGTATCTGTTATTTTTCTCTTTCTGAAGAGCTTGTCATTACATGAGGCAGGCTAAGCAAAAGCACAAGAAAGAAAATCATGAGAGACTTGGAGGATAGAGGAACGAGACAGAAGAGTTATAACCACCTGATGTACAATGGTAACACCACTGACAGATAAAGTTCCTCCAGTTGCTGGATCCTGAAATGTAGTGTCGAGGCCTCAGAAAGTAGCAGAAGTATGCATTTGAGAATTCAGAGTCAAAAATGACCCAAGAATTGACAATCTTCTTATATATATATAATTTTTTTTATATAAAGCTGGATAAATAGTCTAGGGTGCTAATAATCCAACATAAGAAAAACTCTAAGACAAACCAAATGAACAAGATAAAGAGAAAGGAACTCAAAGTAATAAACCAAATGTCACTTCTGCAAAATTCAAAAGAAGCACTAGAAAAAACACACCAGAACACTAGCAATGCCAATGAAAAAATGAGCCTATGTTCACATGCTAGTGCTCACAAGGATTACTGCACATGAAGGATATGTTGTTCTCCTGCTGGTGGAGAGTTATAGTCTAATGATGATTACATTAAAGGCTGGTACAATCCACATTGACTTGTAGTGGTGGTAGCTTTGTTCCAGGCTTGTGTCACAAGTAGGAAATTACATCACAGGTAACAGCTTCTTGTGGTGCAGAGAGGTGAGTAGTATTTCTGGGATTTGTTTTTGGTGATGACATTAAGATGTGGGGTATTTCTAGTTGTAATGAGTTTTACACAATGACTTGGATCAGTTGGAAGGTTGATAAATATCTGATACCTTACTTTTAATTATAGTAATTTAGTAAGAAAAAATATTGGATTTTGGTTATCATAAATTGGATAACACATTTAATACAGATAGGAACCCATTCAATAATGACTGAAGTTAAGAATCTTGGAATAATGGTTGATAAGTCACTTAAGCTATTGAGACAGTGTTCTGTTGTTAAGAGTAAACAAACAGACAAAATGATTACAAGTCAAAAAAGTGAATTATAAAATAACATATGTACAGTAAGTGACTATTTGTTCCTGCAAGCTTAACTTTATACATACACCCTTGAGGAAGTCCTCAATTTCCATCTTAAGTTCCTATAAAGTGGTGGT